AGATCTACATGCATTTCAATTATTATAAGCGATCATTTTATTTAACTTAGACGTGATTTGGGTGTGTACAGGTGATTTGGGACATGCTTAAATTTATATGTATGCTACATTTCATAACAAAACACGTCAATCTAAACATCAGAATAAGGAAGGGGAATCTTGCTTTGGCGTCAAAGACGAGTCACTTCACACCCAGTTACTTTCTTAATGGTTAATGTGTTTGGGAAAGATTTTACCCCATAAATTTTGGTAAGAGTACTTTGGGCTGAACGAGGTCTTAAACTTCGTATTTGCCATTTTATTTCGGAATAAGTCCTTCTAACTGTCATACAATTGGTTAGAGGTCATCGCGTGTACCACGTAAATCAAGGACGAGTATCCTGGTTGACGAAGGTGAGTTGAAAATCATCCAAAATTTGCTTCATTGACTCGGGGTCCCATGCATTGTGGTCGTTAAGTGCAATCGTAGTAAACACCCATTTACGTGTTTGTTTTTACTCAAAGATGTGATCAGAGGGCTATTAGAGAATTTTCTCAGTCACATGTTGTTTAAAATGAAACTGAGGTGGGAAAAATATCGCCACCTTTAGCTAAATCTGTACATGACATGTTTTTCAATACTATTAAAAGGTCGCCATGTTACCGGAAGGGTCTGCTCCCGACTATTTTTGAAAGTTCAGTCGGTCTGGGAAAATAACACACTTTGTTGATAAACACATTGACTGTAAAAATAGGCCATATACTCACCTCTAGGAAGAAGCGGCTTTGAGAAGAACACAAAAACTATCGGCAAGGTTACTGATTACGGTATTCTTGGCGTGTTTCTATAACGGAGTTAAAATACAATCACCGTAGGGTGTTCAAACGATCAGCTTGTTCTGATAACACTGATTATTCCATTTGTTAAAGTTTTGTGACAGTAATTGTCAGTGACAATGGTATGCGTTTTGAAAACAGAAAGTCGAACAAGTCTTGTTCTCAAAAATATTTAATTATAAAGATTATTCAAGGAAATATCAGGGATTTAGAAGACAATTTATCCTCTCTGCAAATATGCAATAAAACATGTAATTTGGGGTTGGCAAATTATTCACGAGGTTCCGTTTTCTATCTTTGATAAATTGCATGATTATGCAAATAAATCTGGAGCCATATATATTATGTTGGACGGATGTGTACTGGATAGGATGTGTCTGCCAACGACTTGTAGTCTATATACTGAATAATTACCTCTCTTTTAATTAGTCCCTGAGATAGAAATCCCAGCCACTAATATAACAATACAACTCTATATGTAGCAGCAAATGAGACTCAAGGGGTTAAATGTTGTTAACATACCTTAATTAGACTTTGTATTCTTCTAGCCCAGTTGAACCTTACAGTCCATTAACCGTCTTCTTTATGTATATCTTATTTTATTCCCAAACGTATCTTGAAGAATAAGTTTATATGACACGACGTCCCAGTGCAATGTTCTATTAGGTCAGTGAAATATTGAGTTCATCTTGAAAACATATGTGGTTTAAAGTCCTACTATTCGGCACCAGTCATATGTATCTGCAGTAAATCGTGCTTTCAACTGTAATCGAGGTTCAAGTGATTGGGTTGAACGAAAAAAACGAGGTCCATTCGCGTACTCTTTGTTGTGCACGTTAAAGACATCTGGAATGTGATTAAGAATTTAGGCAGACAATCGCTGTTTTGGAAACAAAATTCCTTATATACTATTCAAAAAAAGTAGGGGATATTTGATTTTGGGGGCATAATACTAAAATATGCAAATGACTACGAAAAAAGTCACTATAGAACCTAACAGAAGAAACATTTCCAGTTACATGTGACGCCCAAACGCACCAATAGCTACCGCATGGAATGCAGGTGATGCTTGGGATCATCATGGGGGTCCAACCCAAGATTTGCACGACTCTGACTTTGAATGTTACAGTCATTGTGGCATTGAATTCCAGGGTGGAAACATCAGTTTAATTGTTTTAGTGACCAGAAAACAAATTTTGATATGCGTCGGCTTACCCAAAATGAAAGGTTACGTGCCCTTGGCATGCTACAGATCGGCACAACACAGGCGGTTGTGGCGCGGACGATGAATGTTTCTCAGTCTGTCATAAGCAGGCTATGGTCCAGATACCGTGATACACAATCTGTACAGGACAGACCACGCTCAGGTCGACCAAGGGCGACAACTCAAGCCCAGGATCGATTTATCCGTACCTTGGCCTTGAGAAATCGTGTCATCACAGCAAATCAGATCAGCGCTCGTCTTCAAACAGACACTGGTGTGAGAGTGAGTGGCCAGACGATTCGGAATCGACTGCATAGGGGTCACCTTTGCGCCCGACGTCCTCGCGTGATCCCTTGTTTGAGAGATCATCACATTCAGGCAAGACGTCGTTGGTGTAGGGATCGTCAACACTGGGATAATCGACGCTGGAGCAATGTGATGTTTTCAGAGGAGTCAAGGTTCACTGTTGATTTTTTGGACAGACGTAGGAGGGTGTGGCGTCGTCGAAACGAGCGCTTCCAAGACGTTAACGTCATCAGACATGATCGATTTGGGGGTGGTTCTGTTATGGTGTGGGGAGGCATCACTGTTGCTGGAAGAACGGCTTTACATGTTGTTGCAGGGCGTGTTACAGGCCAGTACTACCGGGACAACATCTTGGCAGTCCATGTTGTGCCGTTCGCACGACGTCATGGCCGCCGTTTCATCTTCCAGGATGACAACGCAAGATGTCACAGGGCCAGGATCGTTACAGGTTACCTCCAACAACAGAACATCACCACATTACCTTGGCCAGCACTGAGTCCCGACCTCTCCCCCATCGAGCATGTCTGGGACATGCTTGGACAGAGGTTACGTCAACGTCAACAACGTCCTGCCAATGTCCAAGAACTTGCTGCTGCGTTGCAACAGGAATGGGACAATCTGGACCAAAATGACCTTAGACGTCTCATTAGGAGTATGCCACGTCGGATCAATGCTTGTTTGGCAAACAGAGGAGGATTTACCCGTTACTGACTTGGTTGTGATGCTGTGGTAACTTTGCTGTTTGACCCCGGGTATCATTTTACCCTTATAATGGTCAGTCTGTGCCTTACTTAGTCTAACGATCATTTGGAATAAATCGATGAATGTGAACTTCATTTCATTTTGTCATTTGTTTCTTCGTCAGTTTCATTAGGTGACTTTAATAACACTTAAAAATCAAATATCCCCTACTTTTTTTGAATAGTATATTACACTACATGGCGTATATGTCTGTCTTCGTTATCCCGGTTAGGCCAGAAAAGTAGGACGTTAACCCCATTCTATTTTGTTGTACTTTTGTTCTTCTTCTCTTAGTGTTTAACGTCCGCTTCCACAGAGAGTGATATCGCAGACAAGTTGTCATATTTTCTTATGCTTAACGCACGCACAGAGGTCTTTCCTGGGGCAGGAAAATGGAGTACCCGGAGAAAACCCACGAAGTTGAGAAGGCGCCCCTATCCCTAAGCAACACGCGCTCACACCAGCGATCGAAACCACGACCGTAAGCCAGAGGTGACCGGCCAGCTAGAGTTTGAAGCGCGACACTTTAGACCACTAGGTCATCCCAACCACCTGTAATTGTGTATTGTAATTCAATAATAAATAGATATTTCCGGCGACAGATTTATATTGCCAATCAACTTTTATTTTAAGCCAGTAACACAGCATTGTAATCAACATGATTTTCTGGCAGCAACTCTAGGGTCATCATGTTCATCCTCATCATTTTGTCTTTTAAAAGTAGAGAAAAACACCACCCACTCCTTCGTTAAATCAAATTAGTAGAGGTCTGTTAATGTTAATTGTTTTACCAGAACTTCGAATTGCTTGGCTCCATTTTCAATGATTCACTTAGATGACGCCATAGCATGTTTATAAGCTAAAGTCAATTTTATTTTTACACTTTACAAGTGAGTACCGGTCGGTGCAAACATTTTATATACTGCAGAGGTGCTAAGAGATGAATCAACACATTACTGTTAGATTTGACAGGTCGTGTTTGTGTTTACCATAGGTAAGTTTATAGAACCCGATTTGTATTTCTAAATAAGTAATTTGGATTAATATTTTACTGGTATGGAGTTTAAATTCGTTTAGTGAGTTTCAAGTTAAAGTTGTGTTATGCATGAGCTAAATATGTCTGTTTAGGTCTTTCTTTAGGTCTTAAATGTTATATAAATTATCAATTAGACATTTAATAACTTGCCAAGATCATAATCAACCATCGATGCCATCGGATGCTCGAGATTTTCAACGGATTTAAACAAAATTGGCGTTTGATAATTTAATTAAAAATGGATAATCGAGACTTTGTTTACTATGGTAATAACGGTAGAAATGACAATAAGGCTCCGCTATTCCCCAAACAGCCCTAACATCGCCCAGAATGAAGTAAATTTAACTATTATAGCGAGAACTGAAAGCTCTTTATCTCAATCTTACATAATTTTTGAATTGGTGTCCAACCAAAATAGCATATAGCTATTTCTCATTTTTTTCTTGAAAAATGTGCAAAAGGCTTGAAAGCACGTTATTTACCATGCTTGTTACATTATCTATGTGTCTGTCATAAACACGCTGTTATTTAATATATTACTAACAGTGAAAAGAATTTTTTACTTATAAAATTAAATAATGACAAATAAATGTGACATGACAATACCAAAAATTCTAAACAATGTTTTAAGTTTAAAATTTCTATTTTTCGCGAAAACTTAAATTAATGTCTTTAGGATAAACATTGAAAGTATTTTATAGTTTGTGAATTTCTTTTTTTTTTCTTTTTTTTTGTTACAAAATGCTGTCAACAAAAGCAACGGGGACATGTTGTAAATTAGTATGTGCTTAACTAAAACTTCTCCATTGTATGAAAAACAGAACCACAACATTAATTTTGCCTTTAAGTCTGCCTCTATAGATTATATACATGTACAACATTATTACTACAAACTATTTCCACTTTTGGATTATAAGTCCTGTCTTGCCGGATTAACCAGGCAAACTGGACCAGAGTAGAGGTTTAGCAAACGTTGGCTAGCAGACGTGGAGATCAGACGGCCTTATGTCTTGATATAATTACGGATCAACTAGTCCTTTGGTGTAGATGCGAATAGCCAGCTTCTGTAACACAGTTATTGGGGATTTTCCCAAAGGACAAGCTACATGTTAAACTAATTCGGTTAGTAAGACTGAACAATAAACGCTAAGTGTCGAATACTATATTAGTTTAGTTGGCCTTTTGTCTAGAGCAGTATAAATAAATGAGCTAATATCGTTGAAAGTGGGAGATATAAACTGAAAAAGCAGCAGAATGATCTGGTTGATATGTTTCTGAGTGGCTTTCAATACATATTATTCCTCATTTATCAACGTGTGCATCTGAAATTGGTGATTTCAATGAAGGTAGGATTGGTTCACTTAGATCATATTATTATACACAGCATCCTAGTTACATTTGACATCTTATAGACTTTCAATGAATTTCTGTCGGCTGGTATACTTATAGACTTCTATTAACTAATGGGTCTAGATTACTTAGTCTCTTTTAAAGAAACCCTTTTCTTCTAGACAGTAGAAACCTCCTTTGTCAGTGTTGCCAGGATAAATTTATTTACTGAAAGGCCTATTAAATATATGTTGTTCAAATTAAAAGATTAGTTTAAAGGAACGTCTTTTTGAGTGTTTTGTTGTTCCTGTTATGTTACTGGCTTGTGTTTTGCCGTATTTCCCTCAGTAGACCAATTCTAGTTAGCTTTTGGCCCAATTCATACTTCTTACAAGCAACCATTTCAAATCCTTTTGGATTAAGAAAAGTATATTTAGTGTGTTACTTTTGGTTTTCCCGCGGGAATAGTAAGTAGAAGGGTACAAGAAGCTTGATACAATTTTATTTTCCACGAAAACACCGCTTTTTGGTCAACAGTATAATAAGTACATTGTGTTGTGGTTTTCGTGAGAGGGAGATAGCAAGGGGCCTCCCGTGCGCTTCTGATAGTAATCATTTGAATCATATGTTAACAGGAACCACGGTGGGTAAGACGCTGACTCGCTAGCCTGGGGGTCACGTGTTCGATGCTTGCATTGGCCGAGAAATTTCATCGGGATTGTCCGACGTGGTTCCCTCGTGTCAGTGGTGCAGGACGTAGGGCCTGACAAAGACAGCAGTCTAGTCGTTCGAATGGGACAAAAAACCGAGGTCCCGTGTATATTATCGTACACGTAAAAGATTTCTTGGCGGTTGAATTCGATATAAGGGTGGGCGATAGTGCCGCTGCCCGGGCAAAATTTCCCTCATAGCACACGGTATGGCATGTTCGTCTTCATTAACCCAAACGGAGCACAACAGTAGGTCGTTAAACCCCATTTCATTTAATTTCATTTTATATGTTAACAAGGTAGTTGCTTACTCTTTCCAGAAGTTCTGACAATCTTTGGTGCTGTAATGTTTGTTAGTTTGTCATTTGAGTTGATACAAACGCGGTACAATATTTTATTTATGTATTTCGGAATAGAATTGTATCATTTAATCATTTATGTATATTTCATTTTAGCTTAATTACAAGCAAACATGCCATTAAAGAAACCCCATGTGGTGTATATATTCTGAACCATTTATTATTAGATCTATACAGTGTATTTTCATTGCTGATGAGTCTAGGAGTGTTAAAGAGTATGGAATTGTAGGTGCCAGACTATGCAATATATCTTTGAAGATATGATTAAAAGCAACATCTTTCAGTCTAACTGAGTCACACCGGTGATCTACGTGGTTTTCAAAGATAGTCTCAATTAACGAATGAGTCTTTGTCCGATGTTTACTTTGGCAGCATATTTCATTCTTTTTCGTACTTGATATCTTATCTGATATGTTTCTTAGTAGGTTTTCGTCGAATTTAGGAACCGATTTAGTTCTGATGAATGGAGGAAAATAACAGATGAAAGCTGGGGGATATTTGCTTTGAGTAGTATATTTATCCCTATGAGTAAAAGGTAAAACGATTTGAAGACATACTGGTGTTTCAACACAATTTGTTTTAATATTTTAACTTTCAAAATATATGAGTTTGAAAAAGATCTTTTCTATTTTTATGTAATATTGCAAGATATAATTATCATCCTGTTTTGGTACACGGTGTTAATAAACACATTAATGAAAGCAAGGAATGGGCGTCTTCTTTGATAATTCATTCCCTGCTACACCATATTTCAGATCAGTTGCCAATTGGGCCTCGTGACATTTGGAGCGTGTGGAGAGACACTAGATCACGATTTAGTACTTGATGATTCTGTTACTTGAAAAAGAACGCTGTATTAATGTTTACAAGGTTATTGTAGTTGCTCATCAATGCAACCTCCGTCCCACCCTAATTGTACTTAATAGCTAGATGATCAGACTCTCGTCAAAGAAGATTCATGAGTATTTTTAATTGCTGTCCTGGAAAAAATCTTTTACCTTGTTTAGCCGATGATTTGTGTTGCAGAGAGTCAACTCAATTCCAAATCCTTTCACATTTGCATATCGATGGGCAATAGAAAGACTACAGAATCAAATATATGTGTGCGTGTCAATTTGTCCTCCGAGTTCATTACTCCTACTCCAGGAACTAAGAAGCAGAAGAAGATTGTCACGTTCTGTCGGACAACGAGACAATAGTTTAATAAATAGAGGTGATTCTATGACGGGGCATATTGTATTTTACTTACAATTTAAGTAATTAGTCGGGTACATTCTTCGGTCAACGCAGGTTTCTTCATTAATTAATGAGATCATTAAGAGAGGTGTTTGAAGCAAGTTGGCAAGTCACGTACATTGCAAATTAAAATTCCAGGTCTTGAATCTTGATGGCTGATAATGGCAAACAAACGAGCCGTATTAGCTTGATGATTTGATGCCTTTTAGCAAAACGTAAATTACTTAAGGACATGGCGAATAGTTAACTCATATTCAGCTAATGCTGTGATAATTTTAATTTACAACTTCGAAATATATCACTATTTACGAAGTGTTTATGCTCAAAAGAAACTTGTTTGGGTTAGTTTCATATAGATCGAATAATGTAACCAGATTGTGTATCTGAAAGCGTAGGATATAAATGTTATAGTACAGTTGAACCCACTACTTCTCAGATTATATATTTTATTATATAAATAATATTCTTATATACTACTCAGATTTTATATTTTTTAATATATAAATAATATTCTGAAAGACTTAGGTCGTATATGGCTGCATTTTCGTACTTTTCAGCCTTTTTGTCAACTTTGCCAATTCTTATTTGATCTAATGATCTTTCTGTTTGTGGGATCTAATTCATCTAGCAAAACTAATTTGCTTAGAATTTATTTTAGTCCAAATGTCCTCCTCATTCTAAAGTTCATTACTTCCATAATTCCATTTTGATCACAGACTGTGTAATTACGTTGTTTTTCTGTTGCTTGAATATTTCTTTCCTTATTATCAGATGGCTTGTTTTAGATTGCATTTATACTTTTTCTGTAAATGCTACAAGAAAAGTGAATTACTTCAGACAGATGGCTGTTTACAACTCATCTTACGACATTAATTACACATCAATCATATGTGGTAAAGGCATTTCAAGAATCAGGTCACTCTGCCACTGATTTATAAATATATTTCAAAGTGTAAGTATAAAGTATTGGTGTGGGGCTTAATGTCTCAAAAACGCACTACAATCTATGCTAAATTTCATTTCTATGGTCAAATGTGGCATCTGAGTACTATTCTTAGATTTCAAACTTCCAAGGGTTATAAGGGCCGACTTTTTCGTCCTATCTGGAAGATATGTCGGAGTCCACTCCGGGATTCCAACCTGGGAAACCCCAGTCGTGAGGTCAGTGTCCTACTGCTCAATTTCCGCCCAGAAACAAAATGATGTTAATTTAGCTGAGTCTTGCGTGTCAAACCTCTTATTTACACGTATATTTCTAAGGCTGTCAGAATTGTGACAACAGATCTAGTAAATATTTCAGTCTCTCCTTGTAATTTATTTTCATTCAGGACAATTGTATCAGAAAGTTCATAGTGATTCATCAGCATTCAGCATGTATACGAAAAGTGAAAGCAAAGCACGCAAATCCCAGCATTTCTTGTTAATTTTCAGAGCTAGAGACAAAATATACGATCGTGCATATTTGAAAGAAAATAAAAATGACTACACGCCAGAAATCTGCCAGATACCAGAATCTGTCCAGGTCACGAATCATGTAACAGTTGTTCTTGGATTTTATTTATTATGTGTAATTGCGCGTACTCTCCATACACCAATTTGGTACTAGTCCGCCCTTCCCTCATCACGACTTGATCACGTACAGAGAGCATGCTTAGAATTGGATCATTTGCTTACAATGAATGAAAGTATTGAATTTTCCACTTGGTCAATGTTTGCCTTCAGCTCTTTGGTTCCATTCAAATTCACGAGGTAAATTACTACCAGTCGATTGGCAGAGAGAGTAGTGTTGATTCCAGGTCTATAAACAATTTTCGTCATGTTCTGAAAAAAGGACTACGGGCCTTATAATCTTGCTACAAGTGCATCCATACTCCTTCAGAAAATCAGTGGAAGAAGACCTTTCCAATAGTATGACGTTAAACCCCATTTCATTTCATTTCATTTCAGACCTTTCCAAGGGGTCGTATTTCTATATTTCAAAAAAAGGAAACATACAACAGTAACCAATCATTCATAACATTTGAGAGTTGGTTTGCTTATTGATACAGAACCACCTGAAGATTTCCTCCAGGTCGCGAGATGTAAACAGGGTTATGGCACGTGATTGTTGCCGGGGATTTGGGTTAGGGCTAGATCTTTGGTTAGGGTCAGCGCTAACCTTGTTTACATCTGGTTACCTATAGATTCCCTTGGCCGTGCGTAGAATTAAATCGAGAGGGTGTACCGTTTCACAATTTTCATCATTGTGTATTGATGGGCCTATGTGGTCAAAAGAATTAAGATCATGGGATAGTTTAAAATGTTTTAGGCCAAGCAATGACATGGCCATGGGTTCACATTGATGGCAAAAACTAACTGTATTGCTGTATAATAATAATCAGCAGTTTGGTTCATATATCCCGAGACATTATTTTCGATTAAACATTAAAAATAACTACGTTTCGAATTACCGAAGTAATTTACCGTTGTGATAAAACAGTCTCTTTGAAATCAAACTGAACTTTGATTTCTCATTTATTAGTAAGACGATTCCTAAACATTTAATTTGTATAATTACAGATCGCATGGTTAAACGATTTACAGATAGCTTGATACGTTTGTTTGTCTATTTATTTGGTTAATTTTATACCAGACCAATCATTTGTTCTTGATTTCCGTTTCTTGTGTTTCCATAATAATAATGGAGTCATTAAAACGCGATTACCTGAGACC